ATTTAAATTATTTTTAATTATTTTAAGCATAATCATGTTCGCTCTGAATAATTTGAGAGGAACGGTTAAAGATAATGATGAGAATTCAACTACGAAATATTCAGTGTTAGAAACATCATCTTCAACGTCCTCAGGGACGAAACGTCCAACAAAGATTAATTCTCCATTATGGAATACGTGGGAATTTGGTTTTTATTATTTTATTGTTACAATTTCCATTATTCTTATGTTTAAGGTTGGACATGATTTGAGTAAAGGTATTTTACGGAATTTTTGATGATTTTTAATATTTCTTTAGACTTTTATTTAGAATGAAGTCAATAGATAGTGAATTTGATAAAAAATATGTAAACAAAAATGAATCATAAATGAATAATAATTGTTTTCTAGAAACGCATCCAAACTATGCAAAATATTCTCGGAGATTACAAGATGGATGGTTATTTAATCGTAAAGTGGTAAATTTATAAATATCTGCATTAATATCCATACTGTTTATTTCTTCTGATCAATTTTATCTTAAAATTAATTCTAAAAATTATGATTATAGGATAATAGTGACATACAATTCGCATCATTTCGCGACCATTATGGTGCATTAATTCTTGCCTTAGCTGTTTATCTTGTTTTAAGTCATTTATATCAATTTTTTTTGGTACCAAAGTCCCCAGCAAAATTCCAGAGTCAACCTCTCATAAGGACATACTTTTTCTTGGGGTTCTCGATAGTTTTTCTTTACGTTTTGTTTGGTAATAATATCATCAAAATCCTGATGATATTAAGCACAAATTATCTTATACCGAAGGTATTTGAAGGTTCAATCGCAAATCCCATAATAACTTGGATATTTAATTTGGGAGTTTTGTTTTTAAATGAAACTTATGGTAATTACGGGTTTGAAAATCTTAATAAAGACCTGGCATTTTTGGTATGTGAATATATTATGTATATTTGTTATTTCTGCTGTATATTTATTTACTTTTCTATTATAAACTTAAGGATAGCAATCGTGGACTAATAACTAGATGGGATGTCACTTTCAACATATGTATGTTGCGACTTGTGTCCTTTAATATGGATTATTATTGGTCATTTCACCCCTCTAACAATTCCCCTGAGGTAATCTTAGGAGAATCACATGTAAATTATTATCATTGTTATAAACGCAAGGACATTGGCAATCTCAATGTCAAATGTCAAACGCATTGGTCATTGCTGACAACTTTATCTTATAAATTTGCAGAGAAATGATAGGGACCTTGCTCCTCTCACCGAAAAGGATCGGATCATTGGTCCATGTTTCCGTGAAGACTATAACTTTATTTATTATTTAAGTTATGCTTTATATGCACCATTGTATCTAGCTGGCCCGATCATTACTTACAATAACTTTATAGCTCAAGTAAGTTTTAATGCAAACTCTAAATGCATAGGGTCGGGTCTATTAATAAATTCTTTCAAAAAATATGCATTTAAATGACGTAATTTTAGAATTATTGCTATAGGTTTGACCCGAGAATTAAAGTTTAATTAGTATATGCATTTAGAGACTTTTGACTGTATATATTGAAATCTGTTTTTTGCTTTATTCATGGTACTTATATTTACTATGTTTCAAGTTGAGATATCCATGTGAAATAAATCTCAAGGAAACATTAATATACGGAGCTAGGCTTTTTGTTGCAATAATGATAATGGAATTTATGCTTCATTATACATACGTTGTTGCTATTGTCAAATCAAAAGCATGGGAAGGTGATTCACCACTTGAACTGGCTATGATTGGTGTTCTCAATTTAGAATTGGTTTGGTTAAAGGTGATTTCATATTTCACTCTTTATATATAGGCTAATCACACTTTGTTTTGTTGAACTAACATATCTAAATTTCTTAATTTTTCAAGTTATTGATTATCTGGCGATTCTTTAGATTTTGGGCAATGTCAGATGGAATAAATACTCAAGAAAATATTTTAAGATGCATGTTAAATAATTATTCGACTACTGGATTCTGGCGCAGCTGGCATCGAAGCTATTATAGGTGGTTAATTCGGTAAATAAATATAAAAATAATTATTATGCAACCTTTAACATTTCTTAAGTAAAAGTTTTTTTTAATTTACAGATATATTTATATTCCACTTGGCGGAAATAAACGCACTACACTTAATATGTTGATCATTTTTATATTTGTAGCATTATGGCATGACATCTCATTAAAATTACTGGCATGGGGTTGGCTAATTTGGCTATTTATTTTACCAGAAACAATTGCTAAAATGCTTTTTTCTTCAAAAGAAGTAAATTCTATTATTTTTATTTTTGATTTCAAACAAATTAATTTAATAGTACACTAAATCTATTGTTTATTTAGTGGGTTGATTGGCCACATTATCGACACTTATGTGCTGTCGGCGCTATATTAAACCTTTTGATGATGTGGGCTGCAAATCTAGTCGGATTTGTTGTTGGCTTAGATGGGATGAAAGTTTTATTTACAAATATTTTCATGACTCCTATAGGTAATAATCGCATTCAGTGTTGGCAAAAACTTGGTTAACTTCTAAGATCTAAACTAGGCTCTTTAGTACTTTTTTTTTTTTATAAAAAAGACCAAAAGAACCTGGTTTTTAAAAAATAAAGACTAGCACGGACTACATAATAGTAATTGTGTTTTGTCTTAATGAACCTAATTAAATGTGATTTGGATTTACGTTTTTTATTTATATATTTTTCTTCTAAATATTAGGACTAATGGAACTTGGAATTGCCTGTATTGTACTCTTTGGTGGTGCACAGATACTTTTTGAAATTAGAGAGGAAGAAAAAAGAAGAGGCATTAATTCTGAAATTAGATACTAATTATTTTAAAGTATTATTGTTGGTTTGTTTAATACTTTTTTTACTTATATGTATAAAACAATTGTTAATGTAATAATTCTTTTTGATTTAAATGAACAATTTTAAGTGCAATAATTTATTTTATTTATATAAACAATCCATTTTTAGTGCATTCTTGTTAAAGCTTCAGGTTTGTTTTTTTTTTGTTATAAGCCTATTTCAAGCTCTAAATAATTTGTATTTATTGAATTTTGTAAATTTAGAAAATAAAATTTAGACAATAAAATTTAATATTATCTATAGACAAATAATTAAGATAACTTTAGTGAATTTAATATTAATAATCCAAGAGTTTTGATTAGATTAATTACATTGTTGGTTTAATTATAATTGTTATTTTGTCTGATTTTAAAAGTTGTATACAAATATTAAAATGGTAATGTATATTTAGTTCAGCACTGCATATCAAAATTTTGATGTAAAAATAATTTTGAACTGGTTTAATTAAATATTGGCTTTTAAAAAGTGTATGAGTAATATTAGCAAATAAATTTCAATATTTCTATCAATATTTTAAAAAAAGTAACGATATTGATAAACATTTACGATTAATGATATATTTTCTCATAATTGTATAGACCTAGACATGAGTGTAATTCTAACTAGTAGAGCTACTTCCGATTGAGTTTTGCATAATAATGTTGCTTCCAACTTACAGCTGTATTGGTTGGTACTTTAGAATTGATATATCTATATTGGTCTTGTATTTTGTCAGAAACTTCCAATTGGATATGATTTATACTAGCGATATGTAAGTCTTTTACATGTATACAGATATTCTGTAACACCTCTCTATACTAACCACTTCATATTAGTATAGATTGCCAAAGGTGTTCCTTATTTGGTTAGACTAATTCTTTACCACAGATCTTTTTATATTCACCACTTTTCTCACTACTCCAGTTTGTATAACAGTTGTGTTACCCTTCTAATCAAGATCTCAAGACCACTTTAGGGTTGTTAGTACTACTTTGCCATCTGCAGGATTTACTTGTGCAACCTTTCTGTCATTGAATCTTCTATGATGCCACTGTTATATGTAGTACTCTTCTTCTTTATAATGGATCTCTTTCTAGAAATTCCTAAACCAAATTCGTACTTTACTTGGACTTTTACAGGATTTTGCATTTTAAATACTCTAAAAACTGCTTCTAGTAGGACTTGAACCAAAAACCTTGGCTATGGGGGTAAGTGCTTAGACTACTAAGCTATAGGGCCCTAACCTACTAAAGATTTATTTTTATTATTTATTAGCTAGTAGCTACTTGCTTATTAAAAATAAATAAAAAAGCAAACAAAAATAAATATTAAAAAAATACAAAAATATATAAAATTATAATAAAAGAAAAAATAAGAAAATAATTAAAATAAAAAAAATTATCTATCTTAATATAATTATAAATCTGTATTGGGTTATAAAAATTATATATTACTAAATAAACTAATTTTTATTTTATATTTATTTAATTAATATATACAAATAAAACTTATTAAAAAAATTTTATTAACTAAAATATTATAAAGAGGTTAAAAATAATCTAGAATATTCAAATCAAAATCACGAACTCTTCTTGCTGATCACTTGTACACAAATAAACAGAAAACAAAAACAGCCAAAACTCAACAAAGGCTATAGAAAACACCCAACAAGGCCTTAGAGAAAAAGGAAGTGCAACACAAACAACAGATATTCAGATTAGAAACAAACAAGATCAAACTTGCAACAAGAGAAATACTCAAGGAAAATGAAAATTTTGAAGAAATTTTTGACAAAAAGTGAGCGAACCACTTGACCTTGAACGCAGATCTCTAACAGTAACACAAAAATAAACAAAACAAATAAACAAAATGTATAAACCAAAAAGACAACAAACACATATAGCAACTGACTATTCCAGAAAGACTAAACAAATACAAAATATATGTTTCAACAGATGATTTTAGAAAGATGAATTTAGATAATTAAGTTATACGAACCAATATAAGAGAAATAGATATATATGATATGGGCCTACTAGGACCAGTTTTATGCTGTGCAGAGCCAAGACTAAAACACATCAACTGTGTGTTCCTGAATGAATCTTTACAAGAAGTTAAAGAAAGGGAACCAGATAATATAGATCTTATAGCAGCAATCTGTTTAGCACAAAAACTTGTCGAAGAAATAGTTAGAATGTTATCACTATTTGGACAAATAAGAGAAGCACTACTAGCAGTCAAAGATAATATCCTAGACAAGATATTACAAAACTAGCAAGAAAAAGCCAGGATGACCAAATTATACCCAGGGTCTATCAACTATATGGCAAATATGAGCTTAAAAGAAATAACAAGAGAAGAAAACAAAATAGAAATTGTTAAAGAAACCCACTAGCAAACTCAAAAGTGATAGAAAAAAAATGCCGAAATGAAAAAAAGAAGAGAAAAGAAACATCAACACAAACCAAAGAGACCAAAATAGACAACATACAACAACAAATGCAGGGGCTAGAAATAACAGTTAAGCAACAACAAGAACAGATTATAGTTAAACAAGAAGAGATCATTCTGTCATCAGATGAAGAAAATAAAAAAAGAAAATCAGGAAAGAAGCACAAATCAACCAGTAGAAAACAAAAGAGGTGCGAACAGAAGACAACAAGACAGAGATTTATCAGGAATCACAAAATAACGCAGAAGCAAGCACAAGTACACTAAAAAATCAAAAAGAAGACCTGATAATCACAGAAATACTATTAAGTCAAAGCATGTGAATACCAAGCAGAAGACCTTCCAGCAATATAGGTGAATACAAAACCAAGATACCAGCATATAATGTACCAGGAGACAATAAAGAGCAACGAATCAGAATGATCAAAGGAATGCTGGCTGGCAACAAGCATCTTAAAGAAGTCAAAAAAACATTCGTAAACTATAATGAGTAGGTAGAAGTCACCTTCAATTGTGAAACAGGAAAAGAGAAGCAATGGAAAAAATAAAAAAGAAGAATCGTGAATAGTTTAGAATGATACTAGTAGAAATACAGCAACTAAAGAAAAGAAACAATACCTTTTATAAAGCCTCAATTGCAGACAAGCCAAAAAAGATGAACAAAGAAAAGAAATACGAAAAACAAAAAGAAGAATTTAGAAAGATCGCTATCACAGAACAGAAAATGAGAGATCAAGCACAAAAGAAGATAATGAAAAAGTTTCATACATCACAGTATGAGATCTACCAAAGGAAATAAACTAACTAGAGGTTCAACATGCCTGCAAAAAACTAGGCGAAGTAAGGAAAATACAAATCAAAAGAAGTTTCTTAAAAGCACTAGCAGTGCTGAAAATCAGAAAAAGATCAAACGGTGAATTTTTCTGGGCAATTCCAATAGGAGATGAAAAACTAGCAAGAGTTACAAAGGCATAGAAGACTTCAAAAAAAGGGACAGTCAAAGTAATATAATAGCAAAACTAAGAGGAATACCAAGGGGTGCATCAGAGGTTCTACTACTTAACAATTTAAGAAATAGAGGCACCAAGTCAGTTTACATACCACGTAATAGCAATGAAAAACAAAGAGCAGTAGCAATCATAGTATTCGAATATGAAGAAGATAGAGACCAAGCAACCTCAAAACCAATAAGATATAATAATTAGGCATTAGAATGGAAAGCTCCATATACAAGAGAAAGAAACATTACAAATAAGACAGAAGACCTAAACCAAGAAGAAAGAGAAGAAAAAAGAAAGAACAAGACAAGAGAAAAGAAAGAACAAGAACTGTTTAGGAGACAAGAATTCAGAAAAGATCTCATCAAAGAAACCACAAGAAAAGAAAGCTCAAGAGCGACAAAACAAGACTACAGCAAAGAAGAGAAGCACCGAGAGAAAAAAAATGAGGAAGAAGCAAAACCACAGAGCATAGAAACAACACTAATAGAAATTTTAAGAAGGCTAGAGAACTTAGAACGAAACCCAAGAAGCAGAGGAAGAGTCGCAAGACGATCCTAAAAAGACAATAAAGTTGAAATCAAGAAAAAGGCTGTAGGGGTGGAAAATACAGGCCCAAAAAATATCAGAGGATGAAGCAGAAAGAAGAAGCAGATTTCATATGAATCGTCTGGAAATTTTAATATGTTAACAATAGGGTTTCATAACATTAACAGCCTAAAGGCCAACAAGGGTAAGGCAGAGAGTATTATAGATTACATGGAGGAAAAAGTATTGACATTCTGGGCCTAGCAGAGACAAATATATCAGAAGAAGAAGAAAGGTACATCACTAGAGAGAAGAATATTTATAGAAGCTACTGGGTATCAGCCAATGAAAACAAAAAGAAAGGCTTAGGAGTTGGTGTAATTATAAACCAAAATTAGGAAAAACATATAGCACGAGTCATCAAACACAGCCCATATGTTCTAGAGCTAAACTTAAAGTTCAAAAGACTGTACATAATAATAATAATAGTATATGTAGTATCTGAAAACTCAGAAATACAAGAAAACATTAAGAAGTACTTCAAAGAGAAGCTACAAAAGCAAAGAGAAAAACATCACCGCTATATCATCATGGGAGACTTTAATATAGATCTTAACAAGATGGTGACGAAAAGTGCAAGAGAA